CATCACTAGTAAATACAGTTCCAAGGTACTTGAACTTCTCCACCTGCTCCACTGCCTCTCCGTTAATCTGTAGAAATAGATATCATTGCATATTACACTTATTTGTGGGATCGGTGGCACATTACTCACAACATAAGCTTTCTCTTATTAACTGTTAACTACCGTAAGCGAAGGACTTACGCTACTATGCTTCGGGGCAACCAGCCAAAAAGCAGATGGCAGGTCACTGGTCAATAATACTGAATAATTGGGAAATGACCTTGTTTTATGTGGTCATGCTGTATGATGCATAGGTGTTGCGGCTTCTATTTGTATTGATCCTCCTGACTTACAGCTGCCTGGTAAATGTGAATTTAAATATAATTTGATTTATTAGCACCGATTTCCTTGTCATTAAAATTGCATCACTAATATTACTAATCTTTCTATTAGTTTCGATTCCCTGATCTTGTCATCTTTGAAAACTTCTTTTTCGTTTTTTTTAGTGCCGAAAACCTATCCATTACTTTCTTCGTCTTATGTATTTCAATAACTCATATACAGTTTTCATTGCTGTCTTCTGTGTTCCAGACGCCCTCTGCAGATAATATGTAGCCTCTTCAAAGTCGGTAATTCTCCTGAATCTTTTACCGATTGTCACTCAGTATTCTTAATGATGTTTCTGGACAGCTGAGGTTGTTCACTTCAGAAATTGCGACACATTTTTGGCTGATCATTGAGGAACTTTGAGGAATCATTGAGGAATTTTTTTTGCTGATCACTGAGGAACAATCCGAGCACTGATTTTAACTTCATCTGTCATCAGCTCATGCTTATTGCCATGTTCAGTACTTCTGTACATCTTCACACCTTTTAGACTTGTTCGATGAATTTAAAAAATAATCGACCTGGTTTCCCGTCGATGCACTGAACGACTGCCATGTGATTTGTGAGGAAATCATATGTCACCAGCAAGTAGGTCATGTGTCTGACGCAGTTCTGCTAGTCGTGTCGCCATTACCATGCAATACTAGTCATCTATACTTTTCGTTCGTTGTTCCCGCTGTCACACAGAAATCACCCAGAACAATGAACGTATGATGGTTTGGACACTTTTGCATCAACAGCCTCAGCTCACTCCCAAAAAATCCCTACCTTACCGCTTCTGCCTCACTTTCAATATGAATATAACAACCACCTACCCATGATGCCAAGACCTTTGTACCTGAACAGGAACTTGGTCGTAATGATTCTGTTAGATACGACGGTCTGAGATACATTGACTCGTTCCACAATTCCACCTACTGCTTCTACAGTCACCTTTGCGAGTAACTCCTTCGGTTCTTTCTGCTTTAGTTCCCGGTGGTCAAAATGTTTGTTCGAAGCCAGTGCATGCATTATATTGCAGCTACCTCTGTCCATACCCGACGCAGTTCTTTTGCTACCACTCTAGTCTATTCAGGTCTGTTTTACCAGCGCGTTTTCTACGTTTTTATCAAACTGCATCCTAAAAACTGCAGTTGTCCAGATCAATATTCACAGCCCTCGTGATCGATTGCACATTACAAGTGTGTGCTCATCCTTGTGAAAAATTCTGTTTCGTTGTTATAATCACTCAGCGAAAAAGTGCCTAAGTGATTGCTTGACCGGAAGTAGCTTCACCACAGCTTTGTTACACCTCAGTTTCAGTATCGTTACAGGCAAATTTATTAGTTGACTATTACTAGTAGTAATACTGATATCAGTAGTTCATGTAGTACTCCTACTCCCTGTATTGTTACATATGCTACTACCAGTAGTTATCACACTATGAATGATGGTAACGTTATTTGTATTATTATCAGTACTTCGTTTAATGCTATTGATACTCTATGAGTGGTAATGGTAGCATAAATTGCAGTATTCATGGATATAGAAATAGTTCTACCAGCAGTGTAAGTGATACTGTCAATTATAGTTGCATTTGCAACAACCGAGTAGGCGCAATGGCAGAGCTACTACTACCAACATCTGTATAAATGCTACTGTGATTGGCAGTACGACATCTACTGTTAGTATTGCTTGTATTACCATCTGTATGTAATGTTACTGTCACTAGTACTAGTGTTACTAGTTGTGTTACCATTTGTAGCAATACTGAAGCCAGTGATAGTAGATTAGTTGCAGTAGTGATGATAACAGAAGTAGTTCTAGTGCCATTGGAAGTCATACTATCAGTGATCGTAATATCTGTCGCAACATACGTAGTAGCAGAAGTATTACCACTAACATTACTACAAATCATACTAGCAATGATAGGAGGACTTTTGCTTGTAGTTGCCTTAATTATATCATCTTCTACAATTGATCTTACTATTTTTATTATTGGTATTACTAATAGTGGTAATATTGGTAGTAGCATTTTTAGTGATACTAATACTAGCACTACTCTTAGTAGCCCCACTACTATTAGTGACATTACTACTGGTATTTTTATAGCTGCTGCTGCCAGTAGTACTAACAGTAGCATAGTTCTACCTGTAGTATTTTAAAAC